TAATCTCAACTAAATTTTAATCAGTTCTAATTAAACCTAACTCATCTTAACATAATTTAATATAAATCTCAATTCTGGTTTCATTTGGTTCTATTCAGTTCTAATAATAGTTCTATTCAAATTCATAAACTAATTTAATCAGTCTCACCTGGTTCTGTTCAAACTAATTGAAACTGAATTAAATCTCAATTTCATCTTTACCCCATCAAATTTGAATTAAATGTCTCAATCAAACTTGGTCTGAATTAATTTGGCCTCAATTAAATTCTGGTCTGTGTCTCATTCAAATTTCAATCAAACAAACAGTCTCTGGTCTGAATTAACCAAACTTGCTCATCTCATCAACCCAATTCTGATCTTAAATAACTCATCGATAATTTGTTCAATTTGGTTCAAGTTCTAATTAAATCATTCCATCCAAACCAATTAACCTAATTCCACCTAACCTAACCAAACCCAAACTAATCTAACCTAACCAAACCTAACCTAACCTAACCTAACCAAACCCAAACTAACCAACCTAACCAAACCCAACCTCCAACCAAACCCCAAACCTAATCTAAACCCTAACCAAACCTAACCTAATCTAACCCCAACGTCTTATAGCCAAGTCCTATTATAGTAATTATGATATATTTAATGAGACTAAAGAGGGAGGAGGGGGTCTTGGAGGGGAGAAGGTCTTGGAGGGAGTGAAGGGGGTCTTGGAGGGAGAGAAGGGGTCTTGAGGGAGAGAAGGGGTCTTTGAGGGAGTGAAGGGGGTCTTGGAGGAGAGAAGGGGGTCTGGAGGGAGAGAAGGGGGTCTGGAGGGAGAGAAGGGGCCCTGGAGGGAGAGAAGGGGTCTGGAGGGAGAGAAGGGGGTCTTGGAGGAGAGAAGGGGGGTCTTGGAGGGAGAGAAGGGGGGTCTGGAGGGAGTGAAGGGGGTCTTGGAGGAGAGGAAGGGTCTGAGGGAGGCAGAGAAGGGGGTCTTGGAGGGAGAGGGAAGGGGCCTTGAGGGAGTGAAGGGGGTCTTGGAGGGAGTGAAGGGGGTCTTGGAGGAGTGAAGGGGGGCCTTGGAGGGAGTGAAGGGGTCTGATGGAGGAAGGGGTCTTGGAGGGAGTGAAGGGGGTCTTGGAAGAGATAAAATACTGATCAAGAAATATTAAAAAAGATAAAGAAAAATAAAATAAACGTGAAAACATTTATCGATAAAATAACTAAATATGGTTAGGTTAGGGTTAGGTTAGGTTAGGAAGAAGTTAGGTTAGGTTGGGGGTAGGTTAGGTTAGGCTAGGTTAGGTTAGGGTAGGTTAGGTTAGGTTAGGTTAGGTTAGGTTAGGCTAGGTAGGTTAGGGCTAGGTTAGGTTAAGCAGTTAGTTAGGTTAGGTTTGGTAAATAGGATGGTTGGCCAGGGGTTAGGTTAGGTTAAGCCAGGTTAGGGTAGGTTAGGGTTAGGTAGGCTAGGTTGGGTTGGAAGGTTTGGTTAGGTTAGGTTAGGTTAGGTTAGGTTAGGTTAGGTTAGGGTAGGTTAGGTTAGGGGTTAAGGGGTTAGGTTAAATTTGGTTAGTTAGGTTAGTTAGGTTGGGGTTAGGTTAGGTTAGGTAGGTTAGGTTAGGGTAGGATTAGGTTAGGTTAGGTAGGTTAGGTTGGTTAGGTTAGAAGTTAGGGGTTAGGTTAGGTTAGGTTAGGGTAGGTTAGGTTTGGTTAGGTTAGGTTAGGCCAGGCAAGGTTAGGGGTTAGGGTAGGTTAGGTTTGGTTAGGTAGGTTAGGTTTGGTTAGGCCACAGGTTAGGGTGGGGTCAGGTTAGGTTAGGCCTGCTGGGGTCAGGTTAGGTTAGGTTAGGTTAGGTTAGGTTAGGCTAGGCAAGTTAGGCCTGGCCAGGTTAGGATAGGCTTGGGGTAAGTTAGGTTAGGTTAGGTTAGGTTAGGTTAGGTTAGGTTAGGTTAGGTTAGCCAAGGCCAGCCAGGTTAGCTAGCCAGGCCAGGCTGCCAGGACAGGTTAGGTTAGGTTAGGTTAGGTTTGGTTGAGTTAGGTTAGGTTTGGTTAGGTTAGGTTAGGTTGGGTTAGGGAAGGTTAGGTTAGGTTAGGCTACAGGGGTTAGGTTAGGCCAGTTAGGGTAGGTTAGGTTTGGCTGTGGGGTTAGGTTAGGTTTGGTTAGGTTAGGTTAGGTTTAGGTTAGGGGTAGGAAGTTAGGGTTAGGTTAGGTTAGGTTAGGAAGGTTGTGTTGAGGTTGGGGTTAGGGGTTAGGTTATGTTAGGGTTGGTGGCTAGGTTTGCTAGGTTAGGTTAGGTTAGGGTAAGGTTAGGCAGGTTAGGTTTGGTTAGGCTAGGGGTTAGGTTGTAAGAAGTTAGGTTAGGTAGGTTAGGTTGGGTTAGGTTGCTAGGTTAGGTTGCTAGGCTAGGTTAGTAGGGTTAGTTAGGCAGGCCAGGTTAGGTTAGGTTAGGTTAGGTTGGGGTTAGGCCAGGGCAGGGGCAGGTCAGGTTAGGTTAAGGTTAGGTTAGGTTAGGGTAGGTTAGGTTTGGTTAGGGTTAGTTATGCCTGTTAGGTTAGGTTAGAAGCATAGGTTACAGTTTAGGTTAGGTTAGGGTAGGTTAGGTTTGGTTAGGTTAGGTTAGGTTAGGTTAGGTTAGGGTAGGTTAGGTTTGGTTAAGCTAGTTAGGTTGGGTTAGGTGTGAGGTAGGTTAGGTTAGGTTAGGTTAGGTTAGGTTTGGTTAGGTTAGGTTAGGTTAGGTTAGGTTAGGTAGGTTAGGTTTGGTTAGGTTAGGTTAGGTTAGGTTAGGTGAGGGTAAGGTTAGGCCAGGGGTTGGTTAGGTTAGGTAAGGTGAGGCAGGTTGGTGTCAGGCTGGTGTCAGGCAGGTTGTCAGGTTAGGTTGGGCCAGGCCAGGCCAGGCCAGGTCAGGCTAGGTCAGGTTGTGATAAGGTTGTGCTAAGGTTGTGTCAGGCCAGGCCAGGCAGGCCAGGTTATGTCAGGCCAGGTTGAAGCCAGGCCAGGCAGGTTAGGTTTAGGCCAGGGGTTAGTTAGCTCTTGGGTTAGGTTAGGGTTAGCTAGGTTAGGTTAGGGGTTAGGCTAGTAGGTTAGGCTTAGGCTAGTTAGGTTAGAAGCTAGTTAGGTTAGGTAGGTAAGTTAGGTTTGGCTAGGTTAGGTTAGGTTAGGTTAGGTGAGGGTGCAGGTTAGTTAGGGTTAGTTAGGGGTTAGGTTTGTTGCTTAGTTAGGTTAGGTTAGGTTAGGTTAGGTAGGTTGTGGGCTTAGGAAGTTAGGTTAGGTTGGTTAGGTTAGGCAGGTTAGGTTGGGTTAGGTTAGGTTAGCTAGGCTAGGTGAGGCAGGTTGTGTTGTGGCTAGGTTAGGCAGCCACAGGTTAGGTTAGGTTGTGGAGGTCAGGTTAGGCAGATTAGGTTTGGTTAGTTTAGGTTAGGTTAGGTTAGGTTGAGGGAGGTTAGGTTAGTTAGGTTAGGTTAGGTTAGGTTAGGGTAGATTAGGTTTGCTAGTTTAGGTTAGGTTAGGTTAGGTTAGGTTAGGTTAGGTTAGGTGAGGGTAGGTTGAGTTAGGGTGGAGCAGCACTGGAATTTATCTAACTCAAGAGTGGATGAATGGTTCCACACACTCTACATACCACACCTCCACATCCACACACACCCCAACACCACCCACACACACCCCAACACCTCCCACACACACCCCAACACCTCCCCACACACACCCCAACACCTCCCACACACACTCCCCAACACCCCCACACACACCCCCAACACCTCCCACACACACCCCAACACCTCCCCACACACCCCAACACCCCCACACACACCCCAACACCACCACACAACCCCACACACACCCACACAACCCATACACACCCCAACACCACCCACACACACCCCAACACCACCCACACACAACCCCACACACCCACACAACCCATACACACCCCAACACCTCCCACACACACCCCAACACCCCCACACCCCAACACCACCCACACAACCCCACACACACCACACAACCCACACACACCCCAACACCACCCACACACCCCAACACCACCCACAACCCCACACACACCCACACAACCCATACACACCCCAACACCTCCCACACACACCCCAACACCTCCCCACACACCCTAACACCACCCACACAACCCATACACACCCCAACACCTCCCACACCCCAACACCACCCACACACACCCCAACACCTCCCACACACACCCACACAACCCCACACACACCCCAACACCCCACACACACACCCCAACACCCCACACACACCCCAACACCCCACACACACACCCCAACACCTACCCACACACACCCCAACACCTCCACACACACACACCCCAACACCACCCACACACACCACCCACACACACCCCAACCCACACACACCCAACACCCACACACACCCCAACACCCACACACACACCCCAACACCCCACACACCCCAACACCCACACACAACCCCAACACCCACACACACACCACAACCCACACACCCACACCACCCACACACACCACCCACACACCCCACCACACCCACACACAACCCACACACCCCAACACCCCACACACAACCCCAACACCCACACACACCAACACCACCCACACAACCCACACACACCCCCACACACACCCCAACACCACCCACACACAACCCCACACACACCCACACAACCCACACACACCCCAACACCACCCACACACCCCAACACCCCACACACACCCCACACACACCCAACACACAACCCCACACACACCCACACAACCCACACACACCCACACACACACCCCACCACCACACACACCCCAAACACCTCCCACACACACCACACAACCCCACACACCCAACCCCACACACACCCCAACAACCACACACCCAACACCACCCACACACCCACCCACACACCCCAACACCCCACACACACCCACACAACCCCACACACACCCCAACACCCACACACACCCCAACACCACCCACACACACCCCAACACCACCCACACACACCCACACACCCCAACACCCCACACACACCCCAACACCTCCCACACACACCCCAACACCACCAATCCAACACCACCCACACACCTAACACCACACACAACCCCAACACCACCCACACACACACCAACACCCACACACACCCCAACACCACCCACACACCCACACACACCCACACACACACGCCACAAACTTACTTCAATATTCCATATTTGCTGATCATCAAGAGGAAGGTTGACTAAAGGTGCAGGCAGGGTAGAAGGACTATAGGTCAGCCCCAGCAGACTAAAATGCAGAGCAGACACACAGAACATAAGAATGGATGAAACACTAACTATTGGCTCTCCAAGGCAGGGCCCCATCTACACCCAACTCCTATGGTCCATACCAGGCAGGGGGCCCATCTACACCCAACCCCATGGTCCATACTGAGCAGGGGGCCCCATCTACACCCAACCCATGGTCCATACTAGGCAGGAGGCCCCATCCACACCCAACCCCTATGGTCCATACTAGGCAGGAGGCCCCATCCACACCCAACCCCATGGTCCATACTAGGCAGGAGGCCCCATCCACACCAACCCCTCATGGTCCACACTAGGCAGGAGGCTCCCACTCACCCAACTCCTATGGTCCATACTAGGCAGGAGGCCCCATCTACACCCAACCCCTATGGTCCATACTAGGAAGGAGGCCCCATCTACACCCAACCCTCATGGCCCATACCAGGCAGGCCCCATCTAAACCCAACCCCATGCCTAGGCAGGGGGCCCCATCCACACTCAACCCTATGGCTCCATACTAGGCAGGGGCCCATCTACACCCAACCCCATGGTCCATACTAGACAGGAGGCCCCATCCACACCCAACCCCCATGGCCCATACTAGGCAGGGGCCCCATCACACCCAACCCCATGGTCCACACTAGGCAGGAGGCCCCATCTACACCAAACCCTTGGCGGCTCATACTAGGCAGGGGGCCCCATCTACACCAAACCCCTACGGCCCACACTAGGCAGGAGGCCCCATCCACACCCAACCCCTATGGCCCATACCAGGCAGGGGCCCCATCTACACCCAACCCCATGGTCCATACCAGGCAGGGGCCCCCACACCAACCCCATGGTCCATACTAGGCAGGGGTCCATCCACATCTCCAACCCCATGGCCCATACCAGGGCCCCACCACCCAAACCATGTCCATACTCAGGCCCCATCCACACCCAAACCCTTATGGTCCACACTAGGCAGGAGGCTCCATCTACACCCAACCCCTATGGTCCATACTAGGCAGGGGGCCCCATCTACACCCATCCCCTATGGTCCATACTGGGCAGGGGGCCCCATCTACACCCAACCCCTATGGTCCATACTAGGCAGGAGGCTCCATCTACACCCAACCACTATGGTCCATACTAGGCAGGAGGCCCCATCTACACCCAACCCCTATGGTCCATACTAGGCAGGAGGCCCCATCTACACCCAACCCCTATGGTCCATACTAGGCAGGAGGCCCCATCTACACCCAACCCCTATCACTCATATATCCATCCAGCCTGTGTTTGAAGCTAACGAGTGTAGCCGAGTTAATGATGATGTTTGGTAACTTGTTCCACTCATCCACTACCCAATGTTTACCTATTTGGCGTCTACATATATATTTGTCTAATTTAAAACCATTGTTACGAGTTCGCTCCTGGTTGGATAGTTTAAGTACCTTTGTTATATGATATATTTGTACTTACTTGCTTACCATGTTGAAAGATGTAAGTATATAATCAACCTACCAAAACAGCATAACAAAAGACTCAACCAACACCTACTTTAGAACTTGCTCAAGAACCTGTTGCTCCGCCTCAGGCATATCATCACTCGGAGTAAAGGACTCAGGTATAATCCCATATCTCTGCTGTAGGATTTCCAAAGCTTGTAGCTGAAGTTCAATATTTTTCTGAATCATCATCCTTTTGAAGATTTCGTAGTCGTCTGCTGCCCATACTTGTTCAAAGAGTGTCTGGTGGATAGATGGATAGATGGAAACTGTACCTATCCATACTTTGATTTTTAGGGATTTAGGGATGAATTATACACCAAAAATCCTTAAATAGTGTCTTTAGGAATTTTTTTAGGGGGGATTTAGGTATGAGGTGCCCTTAAAACTCCCTAAAATGACCCTTAAATACAGTATGACAATTTAAAGTATTATTTAACTTTTATGGTGTCAGATGAGGCTTTAAATACCTAATAATCTATAATTCTTTAAATAATCTACCTAAAACACCCTAAAAAATATATCAAAATCCCTAAAAAAACGTCAAATTTCCAATATTCCTTAAATTCTAAAATACTTGGTCATTATACCTGATGGAAAGGGGTGTTCATTGAAGCCTTCCCACACGCTGCTTCAAACTGCTCAGGATTTATGCCCATATCTTCCATATATGAGCCGAGCATGAAGTCTACTAAGGTCTTATACTCTTCGTGGATCTTGTGGTGGCCGTCATCGTCATCCACGCCCGCCTCGAAGA